GGGACACGTAGCAAGCATGCCTAGCGACTCCAATGTTTCTCGTCAATACTCTCCTTTTTTGCACAAAAAACAAAAGAAAATTTTATTTTAGTCTTTCTACCAAACTTTTAATAGTAAAGTATTGAGAACTGAAGTGGCTAAAAGAGTTAAAAGGACAAGTAATTGTTAAAACCTCTTGATAGCCCTCTTGAAAGATATTTTGGTACTAAGTGCATCCCTTTAGGTTTTGTCTCTTGATTCTGACCAAATGAGCCTGTTAGTTCTTAAAGGATACTTGTTAATTCTAGAACAAGGTATTGTATTCTCACAGATTTATTAGCTACACTTTCAAGTTCTACCAAGTTTCCAGTAATGATTTCTAATCAGCTAGATGCATGGATGATTTGCTGATGAACACTTTTTGATGATTCTCGCACTTGTTTTTAAGTTTTTCTCCCAAGTTTTAGATGATTAATCATGTATTGTCATGCTGACTGATTTCTTTCAACCTTAAGATGTGCTTACCATTTTGAGGAAATTGGTTCTCCTAGAATTTGGAAATGCTTATCTAGATTTCATGTTTTCTCTTATAGGTTAACAGTTTACGGCAGGAACTGCAAGTGTTGGCATCAAACAGACCGATCATGATAGTTACTACAAATGGAACAGGTTTCTTTCCAATGTCTTGTGTGTATTAAGGAGACAATTGTAATCTATCATTTTGTTTCGCACTACTATAATCTGGAGTGTTAATATGTTTTTGTTTCAATTGTTTTCCTTTGAATACAAACATTGGTAAGAAATGAGTTTTCAAAACTGGTTTTTATGGTTAATACTTATGTCCTTATGGTCCTTTATGAATGTTGCCATGTAGTTTCTCAGTAGAAAATTTCTTAAACCTGGCAATTGAATATTGATATGTTCCTTTTTGTTTTCTCTTTTTGAGAGAAAAAGGAACTGTAATAACAAGGCATCAAGGGTGTCACTCATGTAAAAAGAATGCCAGACTACCAATTTAGTCTTGAACTTTACACAAGTATAAGCTATGTTGTAATTTAGTTCTAAATCTTTTTTGGCTACAATTTAGCACCTGAACTCACAGAATTTTTTTTAATGTTATTTTATAGAAATAGCGAAAACTCTTCCTATATTATTTAGGTTATATCTGAATGATTTAAAAAATATAATGTTTGGGTTTAGGACTATGAATTGAAAAAAAAAATTCGAAAATGTGTTATGTGCCACGTGGCTACTAGAATGATAGACACATGGTTGCTAGAGTGGGTGACACATGACTGCTTGAGTGGATGACATGGCTGTTAAGAGTGGATGACATGACTGCTAGAACAAGATTGTTTTTATTTTGTTTATCTAGTTATCCAGTTTTATTTAATATAATTTAGTTATGGGGATGAGTGTGAAAGTAATTTCTAGGATATGTTGGATACTTGTTGGTAGTTTCTAGGATGTGGTGGTAGTTACTTCAAAGTTGGGTACTTTAAATTTAAAGCCGAGTGGTACACCCAGGTACTTGATTGGAAGCGATGTCGTCCTACACGCGAACAAATTAGCCAGCATGTCTATATCACTACATCCACCCAAGTTCACTGATTCAGATTTATTAAGATTAATATTCAGACCTGATATTGCTTGAAAACACAGCAAAATCCCTCTCAAGTTCAGGGTCATCCTCTTATCTGGTTTGCAGAAAAACTACGTATCATCTGCAAAAGCAGGTGTGAAACCTCCACCTGCTGGTCACTCCTCTCCACCATAACCCCCTTAAATAAGTCGCTCTCTTTGGCATGTTCAATCATCCTATTAAAAGCTTCCATTACCACAATAAATAAAAGTGGTGATAAAGGGTCACCCTGCCTTAAACCTCTGAATGCCTTAAAGAAAGAAGATGGGCCACCATTAATAATAACTGCGAAGGAGGATATCGTGATACATGCAAGGATCCATTTTCTCCATTTCAAGCCAAAACTGAGTCTATCAAGCATGTAGTCCACAAAATCCCAACTGACGTGGTGATAAGCTTTCTCCATATCCAGCTTACATATAATCCCTTCCTTCTTTCTACCCACCAAATCATCCACAACTTCTTAATAGTCAAAATAGTATCAAGAATCCGTCTACCCTCAACAAATGCATGCTGGCTGCCCCCAATAACCGAGTCTAAAACAGAGGCCTTTTTTTTTTGCCAAAACCTTAAACAGTAGCTTGTAAATACATCCTACCAAGCTAATAGGTATAAAGTCTCTAATATTCTTGGTCTCTTCTTTTCTTTAGCAATAAGAACTATAAAGGTGGAGTTACGAGATTTCACAAAATTACCATTTCTGTTTAACTCCTTAAATAATTCCAGTATCTCATCTTTAAACACCAGCCAAAAATCTTTAAATAATTCCATATCCAGTTACTTGACTTGTCTCTTCTTTAAATTTTCTTTTGATATTTCATTTCATGACCTCGGTCATGACCTTTTTCTTAACTCATGCAGGTGGTAGAAAATATGGCATAGTTATTGTCATTGTGGTAGTTGGATACGGCTACGTGTGGTGGAAGGTGATGATCTTTTATATTGTATTTGCAGAATTTATGAAGTAAACTATGTTCTTGTACTGAAGATGTTGAGGAATGTGCATGTTTGTTGAAATTGTTACATTAAATTGGAATCATAATTCTCTTTGGATTTTAGATCTTACTATTCCTTTTGAGCCTACTAATATGTGTATTTATTATTATGGGTAATCCAAACCCAAGCAATGGTTAGTTGGTTCACAGGTGCACCTATTTAAATTCCTAATGCATTGTGATTTGGGTTGTACTCAGCGAAATTGTGGTGATTAATTTACATGTTTTTTTAACAAAGAGAAATTTATTAATATTGCACCAAGGGAGTGAAACCTATATACAAATTACAGATCTCTCAAAGAGAAGATCTTAAAGATCCACAAAACCCACCCCATCTTAGAGACAATGATCCTTATACAAAATACTAATGGTTAAACAAATGATCCAGGATAGAAGCAAAAGGGGAAGAGAGGTTTCTAGGTGACCCCAATGAGGGATCCACCTGTACCATTTAGAGGATATTTGAGATTGCTAAAAGAAATGTGTTTAGACCATTAAAGTGCAATTAGTTACATAAAATTGGTATAAAATCTTATTTAATGTTATGGCTTCCTCTATGTACATGAGGGTTTGAAAAGGGTGAAAGTTTCATGGTATGACTAGCTAAAACAGGAACCAATTTTTCTGATAAAAGAATATAAATCTCTCATTATCAAAAGAAAATTTAATGTTCTCATATCAATTCCTTTTGGAGGAACTTGTCATTCCCCTTGAGGATGTGTTTGGATGATGGTAGATGGAGGTGGAAGGAGGGGAAGAAAATAAAACTCAATTTATTTTCTCTCTTTTTCCACCGAACAATCAAACAAATTTGAGTAGTTTTTTTCTATATTTATTCTCTCTTCCTTCTTATTAGCACCTAAACAAGATAAATAGAAATAGTATCATTTCTCTTCCTTTACACTTCCATCTTTTCTTCTCCTCTCTCTCTCTGTTTTGACTTTGTTCCTTAGTCCTTCCTTTATATGAGTTCGCACCTCTTGGTGCCCTTTTAATATTTCTTCTCATTTCTTTCCAAAAAATTATTTGATATACAGAATTTAGTTCTGATTATATTTTACACATGATTAAACTAACTCTGCTTATATCTTCAATTTCTCAATGATAGATTTGTATTCTCTCTTATCAGAAAGGGATTGACAAAGCATGTAACATTGGAATTAAATTACTTGAAATTGTAATATTATCTTTCATTCAATTTTTTTCCCTTGTTTCTATTGTATGTTCATTCATATTCCATAAAATTTAACTTGAACTAAACTCAACCTAAGTTCTTTTTGGTTCTCTTATTATAGGATACCCTTTTGCCATTTACTGATTTAGTAATTTCCATGTTAAACATTTCAGGGATGGAAACTTCCTGATTTTATGTTCGCAACAAGGCGTAGTTTAGCTGATGCATGTAATTCCATTGGCAAACAGCTTGAGAATGTTTACTCATCTATTTCAGTAAGTTCTTCTTTTTCATGGCTTTTCTTGTTATCTCCAATTATGCTTACATTTCTATGTAGAAAATAGTAGTATTTTGTATCTCTACCGAAGTTTGTCGTTTTGGATGCTAATCCGGTGCATTATTTGTTCCTTCTACTACTTAATTAAAGTGATTCTCTTGCTCTTTGCCAAATTGACAAAGTGCCTTTGTTTTGATTGGTTATTGAAATCTCATTGGCGATTATAGTGTTAATAGAAAGAGAAAGAAGAGATGGTTTATGGAAGCTACATGCTGCTGTAGAGCTATAGCTTATAGCTGTAAATTAATAGCTTGGATTGTATGATGCAATCAAACCATAGGTGTCATGCTTAAAGAATCTTATTTTTAAGATGACATCTAAGAAGCTTTATGTGTGATATCAATTGACCTATAATATGTGCATAGTCCGATAAATCCTGTAAGATTTAGGGAAAGAAATTTTGAATATTTACATACTTTCATTACATAAAATTAGGGGTATATATACATAGAAGAGGGATTTATATATGGAAACATAAATCACCCTATTAATATTAGGACATCAACTAATAATTGTATAAAAATATTCCGTAATATATTTTGTGATATTCTAACACTCCCCCTCAAGCTGAAGTATATATATTGATTATGTCTAACTTGTTATGAAAATATTCAATTCGGGTTCCATTCAAAGACTTTGTGAATATATTACTTAATTGTTCCCTTGTTTTTACATAATTGGTAGAAATTAAGTTCTCATGAATTTTCTCACGAAAGAAGTGACAATCAATCTTAATGTGTTTAGTTCTTTCATGGTATACCGCATTTGAGGCAATCTGAAGAGTAGCTTGATTATCACACTAGAGTTTTGCAAGTAATATGAAATTCAAACCCACTTTCACTAAAAGGTGTTATTTTCATAAGACCTTACGTGGATTGGGTCATAGCTTTGTATTTGGACTCTGCACTGGATCGGGACAAAGGGACACAATAGTCTGCTTTTTATTCCTCCATGATACCAAGTTCTCACCAACGAAAACACAATAAGCTGTAGTGGATTTTCTATCAATTTTAGATCCAACTCAATCAACATCTGCAAAGCATTCAATGTAAGTATGCCCATGATTGCTAAACAGTATAGCAAGTCTTGTAACACCTTTTTGGTAGTACAAAATCTGTTCCAAAGTTTCTGAATGTTTGACTGTAGGTGCATACGTAAATTAATTAACAACACTGACAGAATATGCAATATCTGAACGAGTTATTATGAGATAATTCAGTTTCCTAACTAATCGTCTGTACCTTTTCGGATCATCAAGAGGGTCACCATCATCTTTAACGAGGTGTACATCTGGTACCATTGGAGTGTTACACGGTTTAGCTTCCAACTTTCCAATTTCTACAAGTAGATCAAGTACATACTTCTTCTAAGATAAGAAAATTCATTTTTTATTTCTTGTTATTTCTATTTTCGAGAAATATCTTAACTGATCTAAGTGTTTGGTGTGGAACTTGGTATGTAAGAATGATTTGAGAGAGAGTATTCCTGCACAGTCATCACCTGGAATAACAATATTATCAACATAGACAACAATGAGTATAAGACCAGCTGTTGACTGTTTATAAAAGACCGAGTGATTACACTTGCTCTTCTTCAGCCCGAATTCCAGAACTACTTCACTAAATTTGCCAAGTCACGCACGGAGACTCTGCTTCAGTACATACAAAGATTTATTCAAATGACAGATTTTCCCATACTTCCCCTTAACAACCAACCTGGATGGTTGCTTTATATAAACTTCTTCTAGAAGGTCGCACTGAAGGAATGTATTCTTGATATCTAACTGGTGTAGGGGCCAATTGTGAGATGCTGCAATGGAGATGAATAAACGGACAGATGTAAGTTTTGCCACTGGAGAGAAGGTATCAGAATAATCAACCCCATAAGTTTGAGCATAGCCTTTTGTTACAAGTTGAGCTTTAAGTCTTGCTAGTGAACCATCTGGATTTACTTTGACTGAAAAGATTTATTTGTACCCCACAACCCTTTTTCTTTTGAATAAATCCACCAAATCCAACATATGATTTTTATCGAGAGCATTTATCTTCTCAAACATTATATTATGTCAACCAGAATAATTTACAGATTTTTTAACTGTCTTGGGTATGAAAATTGAATGTATAGAAGCAATGAAAGAAGTAGAGGAGGGAGACAGATGACCATACGAAACATAGTTAGCATGGG